CTCTCCGGAAGAGCTCAGCTTTCTCTTTCTGGACTCTACCTCCTCGCCCTGCGGTGCCTTCAAGGCGTGGGCCGGGTGCGTCTTTGCCTGGTGCGTTCCTGGTACCATTGAGCCGTTACCGCCAGCCGAGCGGTGCGATATCTGCACCCTTTCTAGTGGGTGGACCACAAAGACTTCGTCCCCTGCTGTGTGGCAAGAGTGATCAGCGCCTCCTTCGGACAACGGTGACGGGGGGCTATAAAAGCTGAAGCAATTTTGTAAATAGTGCTGAATCTTGTACGGAATCATGAGCTGAACCTGTGTTGTACATAATGCGGGATCTCGATCCCTGTAGAGTTCTTATCTTCCTGCAACAATGTAAATAAACCTTCGTTCTACCTTACGAACGCGTCTCCTCACTGGTGAAGATCCGCTATGTGGACGACAGCGGGAAGCCAGCTACTTTAGAGAGCCCGCCGTGCCTGCCACCATCTACTCGTCCTTTTTACCCTTTACAACTGGTTGGCAGCGGTGACATGGACTTCATGACACGGTACTGATTGAATCAGAGGAATCCCCTACATTTGTGAGATGCAGGACCAAAGTACAACAGCAATCATGGAGGTGGAGACACAGCTAAAGGATGGTCTTTTGTACATTTGTGAAGACCTAGGTATAAAGGTTAAGGAAGGAATGGGCAGGCTACAAATTTAGGAACTGATTTTGCAAAACGCCAGTGAGGAGGAGATTGGATACACGTTACAAGCTTTCAAAAGGTTGGCAGAACAAAAACAGAAAATGAAGGAGCGAGAAAGGGAATGGGAAAGAGAAGAAAAGGAAAGAAGGGATAGAAAAGAAAAAGAAGAAAAAGAAAGAATGGAATGAGAGAAAGAGAGAGAGCAGTGGTAGGGAAGCCTGAAAGTAAAAGAAGAGACAAGATCAACACAGTGCCTAAGATGGTCTTACATAAATTCGAGGATCCATGCATTCGAAGAGGGTGAGGATATAGAGAGTTATCTAACCTCATACGAGAAGGTTTGCACAGACCTAGCGCTCGATGAAGATTATTGGTCTATTGCCTTATGCAGTGTTTTCCCATGCGACTTAATGGGTAGGATACACTACCTTTCCGAGGTACAGTTCAATAGGTACGATATAGCTAAGGCAGCTTTACTGCGGTGCTTCGGCATCAGAGTTGACAGAAAGCAAATTGGGTACAAGCTCACGAACGCTCCCGTGAAGAACGCGCGACAGCGTGCTGGTAGTAAAACCAAGCCTGAAAGAGGCCCCCGTGTCGCTTATAGCACCAAGGTGGGTAGTGAGCGAAAATGGGAGATAGTAAAACGGGAGCGAGGTGAAGAGCGTGAGCAAGCACTCGGCCTAGAGATTTAACTATCAGAACAGAAAGTCGAGGCAATGTGGTGGAAGATTCAGCCATCTATCTGCAACTGTAGCGCACGAGAAGTGCGATGATCAGATGAATGAGGTGCAGTCCAGAGCTTTAGAGAAGGCTAGCACATGTGAAGACAGCAGCAGGTTCGAAGACGAACCGAGTTTGAGAGCTGCTAAAGATGCTGCGCTGAGTAGAGAGGTTGACGAAGGCCTGAGCGAGTGCGACAAGGTGCTGTGCCAGTTAGATGCTAGCGAAACAGCTAGGGTAGCTGTAGACAGGCTGGTTCAGACCTCAACTGTGGTTGTCGCGATGGTGGATCTTGCAAACAATGTGGAAGTAGTCAAGGACAACGGAGAAAGCTCAGGAGAAGCAGCGAAAGTAGAGGATGAGAACAGTGCGGTTGTAGACAGCTCCCAGGAAATGCGAGCGAGATTGTTCTGTGAAAAACAGTGCCATTGTTCTTCAGTGTGTTGCCCTGTCCGCCAGTCTAGTATGTGAAATAGATGTTTCTTTAGAAAACCATTTGGACTGCGCGGGTGGGACAGCTGACGAAAGCTGTGTGAGGGTTGGCGAGCTTAAGAAGCGAGCGGGAAGCTCGGAAACGAGAGGCAAGAAGCGGCACAGACGCAAGAGACGTCGGAGAGTCGCGAGCGAGACAAAAGGCACTACGCGTGTTGAGGAAAGCTCGAAAAATTTGAGCGCAGTAGGCAAAGGAGGCGTCTCGCATCGGCGTCAAAATTGCTCTGCATGCGTCGGAGCCATTGGACGAAAAGAAAAGGAAAAGCAGGTTTTTCGCGAATGCATTCCCGTACAAGGCGTCAGTACTTCCTCAGTGAGCATGGCTGCAGCACAACGGGCAACATGCTGAGCAATCCTTTTTGCTTTGTGCTTCAGGTTTTTCTGGGTATCCATGTGGCACCAGACTATCTCCAAAGGGCATGCGCACAACACGGACCGGGGCCAGCTCTGCAATGGACGGCGGATGTTAAGAACAACACGTGTGACACGGCTGAACTTCGCTTCATCGTGCCAGCGTGGCTATCTACGACTGTGACGTCACATCACGTGCCGTATTCAAGGGCTATAAAAGCTCCCCCGGTTCCGTCGTTCGCCAGTGGTCATGGCTGCAGCACAACGGGCAACATGCTGAGCAATCCTTTTTGCTTTGTGCTTCAGGTTAGTCATCACCATCTTGCTTATTGTATACGTAGTGATGACCGATTTTTAGTGCTGCTGCCCTGCCCACTGTGTGTTCATTGCTTTCTTAACAGTGTTGTTCTGTTATCAAGGTATCTTTTGGCATGTGGGGATTTTGGCATGTGGGGATGGCTGTTAAGCGGTATGCAGAAGCAGTGACCCGCATCAATCAACCAACTACGTGAAATTAAGTTTTTTCTTTGAGATAAAAGCACGTAAGTCATAAATGAAGTTTGGTACATCCGCTAGTTTTGAAAGCGCGGTAGTGTGGTCGAGCGGAGCCGAAGAGTGTATGCTTAGTGCCATTTTTTGTGTAGCGCAAAATTGTATACCGTGTTAAAAGAGTAAAGGCGAATTTCAAAGAAGACTTTAAAATAAAACCAAAGCGAAGAAATGCTCATGTATAGAACAATTTGATACAGGGTATTTAGCGAAAACTTGCGGCAGTTTTGTTAGTTGCTCCTAAAGGGTAATGCATCTACACTTATTTTCATTGTGTGTGGGACGTTTTTTGTAAATGTTTACGTTCAGAAGTGTGTTTAGTGGTGCCTAGGTTATAGCGATATGACCTATGGTTAGGTGCGTTAGTATGCTAGCGCTCTTTGGATGAGAGTATGATGTCGTGCTAGGGCGCACAGCTAAGTCCTGTGTGTTCTTTAAAAAACATGGGCTGACATGAGACTACATCAACCAAATAAGCGTGTTCGTATATGAAGTTTATTCATTTTGTTATTTTAGTGAGTGCTTAAGGATCATGTGATCTCTTGAGCTGAGCGGTAAGTTTACCGAACGATGAGGTTAGGGGTGCGTTTTAAGGAGTTATAAGACGCATTTAGATCTGTTGTGAATGAGTTTTAATTGGCATCAGGGTGTCCTACAAGTAGGTACTCTCGACTACGCCTTGAAAGTATGTAATGAGAGAATAAAAAAAATGTGCCCAGATACCTTTTGTAGCTTCAGGCTGCATTTGTGTGAAAATTAAGTAGTTGTCTTTCATGAAATCAGTCATGAAGTTAGTTGATATAAGTTACAATTTAGTCGCACGGATGGTGGGAGAAAGCTAGTTTTGAAAGAGTGTGATTATGGCTATCTGGGGCAAAATTGTATTTGCCTTTGTGCGCTTTTTTCGCACGGCGAACTGTTGCATCTTTAGTAAGCATCTCCACATCCATGATTGTAACTTTGGCGGCACAAAATTGTGTCAAAATTTTAGCGTACAGGTTTTTCTTTTGCTTGTGTTTCTTGAGAAGCCTGGGGGATTTTAAGGGAGTCCAATGTGCTTGACTACAGCATGGTGTTGTGTGGTTCGTCTTTCTGTTGTCGATCATTGTGAGGTGGTTTGGGAGTTGGTTACAAGTTTGCAGCTGGAAGGTCCAAGCCAGGCCATCGTCCTCGTCACCAGCTATTTTCTTCGTGCCCAGCGGTTGGGAGCGCTGTCCAGCTAAGATTTTCTGGGCGGCGGAAAAGCTGTTACGTTTGGCCCGGCAATTCGCCGGGCCAGACGCCATTGTGCGTAAGCCTGTCTACTAAGGAGGCTTTCAAACCCATTAGCGCCCAGTCTGCAAGACGCTGTCCGGTCGATGTTCCAGGAAGCAGTCAACCCCAACGAAAGCTTCGCGAGGCAAGCCTTTTTGTGAACGGGCTCGAACAGCGGGGGAACGGCGCCAATCTGGTGGTCTCATTAAAATAACCTCGTGACTCGGCTTTGGTCATCTACGCGAGGCCATCTAAACGCACTGACAGCCCGGAAGCGTGGGAACGCGTCGAAGAAGCCGTTCACCGAAATCAAGCGTTTGGACTGCCTCAAGCTGAAATCAGCGTGCGTGGACCGCTGCTGACGGTCGGGTTAGTGGCCATCTCCCAGGAGGAGCTCAACTTTCCCCCTCCGGACTATACCTCCTCGCCTTGCGGTGCTTTCAAGGCGTCGGCCGGGTGCATCTTTGTGTGGTGCATTCCTGTTACCATTGGACCGTATCGCCCAGCCGAGTGGTGCAATACTGCACCCTTTCTGGTCGGTAGACCACAAAGACTTCATCCCCTGCTCTGTGACAAGAGTGATCAGCGCCTCCTTCAGACGGTGGTAACGGCTGGCTATAAAAGCCGAAGCATTTTTGTTAATAATGCTGAATCTTGTACAGAATCATGAGCTGAACCTCTGTTGTACTTCTTTGTTCTACCTTACGAACGCGTCTCCTCACTGGCAAAGATCGGCTATGCGGACGACGGCGGGGAGCCAGCTACATTATAAAAAACCCGCCGTACCTGCCATCATCTACTCGTCCTTCCTACCCTTTACAATGCTCGTTCTGTCAATAATAAACGAAGACGTCTCGTATCTACGGTCTCTCTAGTCCTTCCGAAATTCAAAACTCTCACTTTGCTGTGGTGGCTATCTTATCTAAAGAGAGAGCCCAAAGTGAGCCACACTTACCGAGGCGTCGGGGCAGCCAGCCCTTGACAGTTCGCCCTCTCTCCACGTCGACCAACACCCGGCGCCCATCAATCTTCTTCCCGTCAGCGTGCTTGTAGGCCGCTGATAAAAACGTCACCATTGCAACAACTCAAAACATGCACAACCACAGCGTCCAGAAAGGGACACCCACGCCCCAGCAAGAAGCAAATGACATAACAGCAGCACACGTGCCAAAAGTGGCCTCAAGTAAGCGGCAGTGATCAGCTTGCTAGAAATATTGAGATGAGTATGGAAAGTTCTCCCTGTATGCCTAATTCTGCCATGATATGTGGGGGTTTAACGTCCCAAAACCACCATATGATTATGAGAGACGCCGTAGTGGAGGGCTCCGGAACTTTCGACCACCTGGGGTTCTTTAACGTGCACCCGCCTAATTCTGCCAAGACATAAGTGAAGAATATCAGTTTCTTTCTAGAAAGAAAAAAAAAACATCAATACAACCAACAGTACCATTCCTGCCTGTGCTAGAAGAGTCATCGAAATAATAGCCATCACTTCTGTATGGTCACTGTTGCCTTGCTCGAGCGTGTTCCCAATGAAGCTCACTTACCGGAGTACTTACCGGAAGCTCACTCGGAACTTACCACCACTCCGGTTAGTGACAATCGCATGTACCCAACAGCACCCCTCCTTGAGCCCACACTACATGACCACACTTCACCCTTCACAAGCAAGCTGTTCAATTGAACACCATCAGTACATTGCAACACTTGGTAAGTGTTGCAAAGTCCTGCTACATACAGAGACCCCTTTCCATCTAAAACACTCTAAAAGCACTTGGGAATTCAATTGACGAGTTATATGGATGCTGGAGGTACCTAAAGTCTCGCACACATCATTTATGCCAAGAGTAGCCTCGATGAAGGGCTTCGTAGAGCCTCATCAAAAGTAAGCTACAAGAATGGCAGCTACATATGATACTATTATTTTCACCACTGCTGCCTACCACACAACTTCTGAAAAAAAAAAAAAGAAAAAAAAAACTTGTCAATCGCTTTTGACAGCACGTGTGCCACGAGAAAAACACAGGTTACACACAAACAAACAGGATAGAAGCCGTGCATGACAACAAAACAGTAACAGCTATGCTACATATAATCAAATTCTGACCATGTACTAGAGAATTCTATGCTTCTTTAGACGAGCAGTAAAAAGTAACACAATTACAAACTTGTGACTCACACATCGAATACTTTCACAAAAACTCAAAGAAACTTTAGGTTTTTATTGGATGACACTATACCCAAATAATAAAATAAAGGGGTTTAAACAGCAGGTTCTTTTTTTTCGCCTAGTTTAGTGGACTTCCTTTGTATAATGTCTTGAAGCTGTCACTCCTTTGGCAATACTGAATAAAAGTAAACAGCAATGTAGAAGAACATTTGTACATAGAGAAATAATATAAATATCAAATATGTTTTACTGCTATAGAATAAATGTAACACTCACAGAGCAGCCAATATGCAAATATGCATATTTTAACACCAATGCACTATTTTGTTACCAATACTGCATGCATTTCTCTGAAACTGTTGAGGGTCAATGTGTACATGTTCTGTGCGCTTGAAAAATACACAACTTTTTCAACTCTGTTGATCCTGCAAGTACTGTCACTCTGCTGGATTTTTTTTTTCTTTTTCATGTAGTTAGCTTTTGCTTTTCATTTGAATGAGTGATAGGACGGGCTGTTGTCTATTGCTCGCGTGTCTCGCCATTCAAGGCAGAAAGTTTATAAGTGCTTTCAGTTCACTGTAGTTATGACTACTGCTGTGCATCCAGTTACTAAGCTTACATAATGCCACCGCTTGATATACCACCTACAATGTTGTCACTTCAGCTGCTCACAGTAACAGTTAGAAGCAATACCACTGTATACACTAAAGCATCATCACTTTTTTTCCTAACGTGAACATTTTTAACATGAAATATTTCCAGTAACGAACGTATTTCTTGTTACTAAAAGAAGCTTCTTTTCCATCCTTATTGTTCCTAAATAAGCAATGCATCATACCCAAAGAAAACATTCTTGTCACTCAAAATTAAGCATCAGCACTTTTTTTTTCCTAGCATGCGCATTTTTAACAATGAAATATTTCTTGCAATGGACACATTTCTTATTGCTGAGAATTTCATCCTTATTGTTCGTAAATAAGAAATGCATCTGTGTCCACAGAAAACATTCTTGTCACTCTAAATTAGGTTCCAGCAAATAATTTTGAAATACCTCACTCTGTAGAGTTCAATACCATGCCACAAAAATAGACTCTCATACACAATTTCCTAAAGCTTACGTTTCAGTTGGGGTGTGCAAATATCAAAAATTTTTTTAATACAAATCAAATAGCAATACATACTTCCAAATATGAATCGAACAATCAAGAGATGCAATGATTTTCTACAGTAGCCTTTTACTCTACCAGATATGTATTTATGTTGAAACATAAAAACAGTACATTTGTTAGCTATGCTAGTCTGCTATTTCACAAAAAGATGCCACCATTTGTACTTGCTAAGAAGAGCTCAATAGTTGAGCTTGAGGCTGTGCTGTCTTAGGTTTTTTTTTTCACATAATGAAAAAAAAAAATTGTCTATCTTTATTCGTTTGGTCGCACTTTATTAAAAAAAACAAAGGTTTAATACCTGCTATGATGACTAGGGTGTACGAGCCCGCTGTTAAATTCCTACTAAGGCAGTCGCATTGCGATCACATGAAATGTAACAGTTAGCACCCTTGGTGATCAGTAGAGACCAGATTATAGGCAAATGCCTATTTTGTTCCTTGCATTCTTATCGTGCCATTTTGATATATGAGCGTGAATTGGAGGTTAAGGGCTTTCAGGGTGTTTTTATAGTGCCTATAAATGCCTATTCTGGGTATTCGTGCCTACATGCCTATATGTGCCTATAAATGCCTATTTTCCAAGTGAGCGCATATACGAGTGCTATTTAAGCCAAAATTTTGTTTTCGAGCGTGGTGTGAGACCGTTATTCATGTAAAAAAGGCCGCATTGATATTTCCGAACACTATAAGGTTCAACGAAGACAAAGCTGACATGCTGCGAGCGATTGAAGAAGGAGCATGAGGAGTGCAAAATGCTTTATTTCTACAGCCCTAAGTAAAAGCATGTCTCAGCGTCTACAGGAGAAAGAGGAGAGAGAATTAAAGATGGGGTAAGAAAATGAAAGTCACGTCTATAGCCGAGGACGCGGCGACCACCTTCTACAGACAGCTGTCCAGTGCCCTGAAGGAACAGAAGAACCGCCCTAAAAACCTGAGTGTTGCGGCTGAAAGGAAGAGAAAATTTTTCTGGACAGCCACGGGTAGCTGGAGAACGAATGAAAAACCATGGAAGGCCACTCATGGAATGCTCTTGTTGATTCAGTGGTGGCGAAGGTCGCCGAATCGTTATACTTTGTACAGTGAAGCCTGAGACAGGCGCTGGTGTTTTTACAGCGAACCGTGTATTTAGCATACATTCACCCTATGCCTGAATACACTTGTGCCATATGAGATCCCTTGGCATATGTCTTTAAGTCACAAACATGAAAGTGACAAACATGAAAAAATACAGAACAGGACTTGAAAGTTTGTCCAAAGCCATTACTCAAAAGTGACAGCTCTAACAATATTAAAAATGAACTAGGATGAGAATTACTATCATTGTGTCAAATCATACTGCTGTTAAAGCTCTTATGTCAAGCATTTCATGATGAAACTTGCATTAGAAAATTAATGTACCTAAACAGTCCTCATTGTGCAATAAGATATTAGAATTTCATATCAGATATAAATTTTCTATCAATTTGTTTTTTGTTAGTTTCATGACAGAATGAAATGGCTTAAAAAGAACAAAGTGTGTTGTGTTAATGAAAGCGTGTTTTCTTCGACATTGTAATCTATCTGCTGCGGCACCTTCGGGTAAAAAATGTGCATGCGGCTTTTGTTTTGTTTGTGATTTACACTTTGATGATATATGGTGTTTTTTTGGCGCAAGGGCCATTTGATGGCCAAAGAGCGCCAGTGATTTACACTTTAAGCGATCATCTCTAGGTGACCTATTATGTTGTAGTTAAGACACTAGAAGTTCTTGAGTGTCCAACGAAAAGAGTTTTACCACGGTGCTTTTTCGAATTGGTTCCCTATGAGCCACTAAAGCATGATGTGAAGAAACAAGCTTGAGTCCCTTGCCTCTCGTGCCATGTAGCCATCGCGAGCTTCATGCCTTTCCTGTTCTCTTCAGTATCGATGCTGGAGAATCACATGACGCATACACACTAAGCACAGCATGGGTAATTAAGGTCACGTGCGCATGACGTGCCCCAGCCTTCATGTGCACATACGCCATCGATATTGTGTCGTTTCGGCATTCTCTGTTGTGTATTACCAGTTTCTGTGGGATGAATCAGTCAGTGCGTGTACTTTAGGAGAGGCTGACAAGGATCATGTATTGTGACTGCGATACACCATGTCGCTCCTATGAAACTGTGGTCAGAGACAACGCACCAAACACAAGCTACGTGTTGCCAGGGTTGGCAAAGGCACGATGTAAGAACAAGGAGAAGACAGGAAGCAAAATGGGGTAGTAGTAGTAGTAGTATTAGTAGTAGTAACAGTGGTAGTATGTGTGGTTTTACGTAAAAAAAAACATGATATAAACAAAAGGGATGCCATAGTGGAGGTCCCCGCAAATTTTGACCATCTGGTGTTCTTTAACGTGCACTGACATCATGCAGTACACAGGCATCTACTTTTTCGCCTCCATCTAAATGTGACCGTTGCGGCCACAATCCAACCCACAGCATGCGGGTAAACAGCGGAGCACCCTATAGCGGCTGGTCTACTGAGGTGGACGCAAAACGAGGGCGGATTATTGAATAGCATCTCCAGGCTATACAAAACAAAAATAAAAATAATAATCTTAGATTCGGTTTGTGTGTTTTATTTTTTCACAGCTTTCATTCATTATACTGATTTTTAAAGGGCAGTGCAAAGACACAGGGAAAAGAAAGACAGAGAAAAAGAGCGCAGTCTTTCTTTTTCCTTTTTCTTTGCGCTTCCC